GCAAGCTAGGCTAGCAATATAGAAAGGATTTCTACTTTAAAGTAATAAAGGCTATGGTTTTCCCAGTTGCAATGGATGGCTGTGAAAGTTGGACCATAAGAAAAGCTGAGCACCAAAGAATGGAGGCCTTTGAACTACGGGGCTGGAGCAGTGGTGGGTTCCTAACCAGTTTACTACCGGTTTGCAGAGAGAGGGTGTTTTGGGTGTGCGCCAAACAAAGCTGATCTCTGAATCCCAGAGAAGAATCCCATCTAATTTCAGCTCAATTTCAGATTTGTGGTAATAAGAAAGATTGCCAAGGGACCTAGGCCATCCTGTGTCCTAACACATGTCCTCATACAGACATCATATTATGACAATCATGGAATTCAACTGGAGGAAACAAAGAAAAATTATGCATCTGGAGATTTGTCCACAAGGGAGATTGTTTTGACAACTGGGATTGAATCTTTTGAGATTCAATCCTAATGATTGAAAAAACATGGCATTTATGTAATGGAACACCTAGATTTTGAAATTACTTCCTTGCTGATACAATTCATCACAAATCAGCAGGCATTACTAGGCACATCTTATCCCTTGTCATCTTCCCCACGTGGACATCCAGGGCTGAGATCTAAACCTACCTTTTGCTGCTCAGTCCCCAGGCTGGTGGTGGCTCTATTTTTAATGTGTCAGCTACTTTGAAGGAATATAAAAACAGGCCACATGTTTTGGCTCTGCCTACTGTAATTATGCTCTGCTTATATACCACTCCATAATACTTTACAATACTCTCTAAAAGGTTTACATAGAGTCAGCACCTTGCCCCCAACAATCTAGACTCTTATTTTACTGAACCTTGAAGAATGGAAGGCTGAGTCAACCATGACTTATTCAATTAAGTCATCAGTGCCCTATTTGGTGTCTCGTATATGAACCTTTTATGCTCCATAAAAAGAAAGAAAGAAAGAAAGAAAGGAAGGAAGGAAGGAAGGAAGGAAGGAAGGAAGGAAGGAAGGAAGGAAGGAAGGAAGGAATGGTGCAAAACAAATGAAACCTACTTACTTGGATTCTATTTTCACCACCGAATTTGCTTTTCTAAAAGGGAAAAAAATTGAACTGTTTTAATCTGATGTCACCCATGACTTATTCAATTAAGCCATCAGTACCATATTTGGTTTCTTTTATATAAATCCTTTATGCTCCATAAAAAAAAAGAAAGAAAGGAATGGTCCAAAACTAATAAAACCTCCTTATTTGCATTCTGGCGGCTCCCATATTCATGCCCTAAAAGAAGTGGGGGAGAAATGGAACCATTTTAATCTGATATATCCCTCATGTCTTTTCCAACCAGTCGGTATCCAATTTGGCTCTTGTATATGAATTCTCCATGCTCTAGAGGGAAAATACGTGTACCTTCGCGCAACCTGGAGTCAAAATGTCTCAAAAGACACAAATGTATCAGACTGTTGTGGGGTATTTTTTCCTTCCCCTTTTCAATGTTTCTTCACATTCGCCCAGTCAAAATATTGACAAAAAATACTTTTGCAATGAATTTTTGCTTCTATTCGACTGGTAGATTTTCAAAGAAGCAGGTTATCGAGAAAACAGGACCTTTAATAGCAATAGCAGTTAGACTTATATACCGCTTCATAGGGCTTTCAGCCCTCTCTAAGCGATTTACAGAGTCAGCCTATCGCCCCCACAGTCTGGGTCCTCATTTCACCCACCTCAGAAGGATGGAAGGCTGAGTCAACCTTTGAGCCGATGAGATTTGAACCGCCAAACTGCAGCTTAGCAGTCAGCTGAAGTGGCTGCAGTACTGCACTCTAACCACTGTGCCATCTTGGCTCTTCTCTCTATTTCTCTTAATAGAAATAGCTCTTGGGATTAAAGATCTTCAAGGAACCTTTTGCAGTGCGATCATATTTGATGTGTGAATCAGTGATCACAGCAGTTAACAAAGTCAAGGCCAAACACACCTGTTGCTTTGACCCAAGTATCCTAAACCTGTATATATTCCAGCTTGTTTCTTTTCTTAAATTATTCTATGAATCACTTTGTTACATAAATGTGAAATATTTGATCTGCTTAACATTTAATATATTATGGAACCTGTAGCAAGGTACTTAAATTAATAGGCAGAATAACCATATTGCACATGGTCTGTACTTTGAAGTATTAGACTAGATCAGAAAGGCAGACTTTGTTAAATGTTTTATAATCTATTGAAAAATCTCCCCTTCTATATTCCACAAAATTTCCAGTTGAAATGTTTCCTGGAAAAAAGGGCAAGGAAATCCATGCCAGCAAAATTGTATTTGTTGGGGAAAATATTTGGACTCTGTAGATCAATCATGACTATTAAGGAGATAAACCATCAACAGAGAAAAACATCCCAAAGGTGCTTTTTTCAGGAGGCAACTGGGCTTCCTTTTTTGAAGATGTTTCACTTCTTATCCAAGAAGCTTCTTCATCTCTGACAGGATAGTGGGGAATAGAAGGATTTATATTCCTTACAGACAGACAGAATATACATCCTTCCATTCCCCAGTATCCTCTCAGAGCTGAAGAAGCTTCTTGGATGAGGAGTGAAACATTTTAAAAATAACAACAAAAACAATAACCACAACAACAACAACAACAACAACAAGAAAGTCCAGTTGCCTCCTGAAAAAAAGCACCTTTGGGACAATCATGACCTGAATGACCGAGAATCTCTACAGACTTGAAACAGAGAGAAAGTTGTGCAGTTGCCACTCATCTTCATGAAAACAGTGCCTGGAGAGGATTCAGAATATCAGGAGTTGCTTCAGGCAATTGAATCTCAAAAAAAGGTCTATGTTGACGTAATAGCAATGGAACTTAGATTCATATACCACTTCAAAGTGCTTTTAGAGCCCTCTCTAAGTGGTTTACAGAGTCAGCCTATTGCCCCCAACAATCTGGGTCCTCATTTTACTGACCTCGGAAGGATGGAGGGCTGAGTCAACCTTAGCAGTAGCAATAGCAGTTAGACTTATATACCGCTTCATAGGGCTTTCAGCCCTCTCTAAGCGGTTTACAGAGTCAGCCTATTGCCCCCAACAATCTGGGTCCTCATTTTACTGACCTCGGAAGGATGGAAGGCTGAGTCAACCTTAGCAATAGCAATAGCAATAGCAGTTCGATTTGTATACCGCTTCATAGGGCTTTCAGCCCTCTCTAAGTGGTTTACAGAGTCAGCGTCTTGCCCACAACAATCTGGGTCCTCATTTTACTGACCTCGGAAGGATGGAAGGCTGAGTCAACCTTAGCAATAGCAATAGCAATAGCAGTTCGATTTGTATACCGCTTCATAGGGCTTTCAGCCCTCTCTAAGTGGTTTACAGAGTCAGCGTCTTGCCCCCAACAAATCTGGGTCCTCATTTTACTGACCTTGGAAGGATGGAAGGCTGAGTCAACCTTAAGTTGATGAGCTGCCAAATTGCTGGCAGCCGGCAGTCAGCTGAAGTAGCCTAAATTACTGCATTCTAACGATTGCGCCACCACAGTTCTAA